TGCAGCTTGAACTGAACACAAAGAAACATTATGCAAGACGGTGCTGAGTGTATTTTTATGAGAGTAGATCTTGTGCACGGCAAATTGATCAGTACAGAGAGCAGCACAAATGTTTAAATGTAAAGGATAACTAAAATGTTTCCAATGGATCCCAAAAGCTACTCTTGGGGGCGACAATGCAACTTGGGAGGACGGTGGGAAAAAGGAGAGCGTAGGAGCAGTCTAACACAGACCTGGAGAAGATTTGGGTGTCATTGGGAGATGTCAGACTCGCTTGATCAAAATGCTAATGCAGGCCATGCGACTGACACTCAAGAGTAGCCTATATAACATCTACATTCGATCAAGTTTGATTCCATAGGACAACCACAAATACTTCAAGTGGCTGCGGATTTCTGGGCTATGCTGGGTCACTGCCGAAGGGACAATTGCTTTTTTTTTGCTCGCGTTTTGCTCAGACCAAGTCAGGCCATCCTTATCAATGCATGAATGGCAACTGCAGAATAGGCAAAGCAGACCAGTACGCTTCCCCCTCCCCCCTAGTGTTCCTGTGATATCCGAACAATTATTGTCAATTGCATAGAGAGCAGCAGATATGTTTACATGTAAAGGATAACCTAAACGTTTCCAATTAATCCCAAAAAACTACTCTTGGTGGCTACAATGCAGCTTGGGAGAACGTTGGGCTAAAAACCAGAGCCTCCATTCACACTAGCTAAAATAAAGGAAGCAGGAATGCGTACTAAACTGATCTAGATAAAGACGAGAGTTAAGACTAGTTAATAGGTTAGCGTCCTTTAGATTAACGCATAGATTCTAAATTGTTGCCGAATCAGATCTATATATTATTATTGAATTCTGAACTCCCGAGTCATCGATCAATGGTCACGGGTTTGTAGCTAACCAAATACATATAATATATGCATATTATGCACATGGCTTATATTGTGGATACTGTAAATTTGAATATTATTTGATGTGCAGCCAAACTGGATTTATGCGACTAAAGTACTAAAACTATGAAATGATACAAAAAGAAGAATTTTCTGAGATCATAAAATGCCCTCAATTTGAGCATTATCAACTACTATTTTTACATTTTAATTTTATGAAAATCTAAAAATGATTCTAAAAATGAACTTGTTAGCCTGAAAAAACCCTATGTGTCCCTGCAGGTCAGTATCAGCATGAAGGAAATTTCCAAACTGGGTTAACATAATTTTCAAAAACTATCACCTTTTCCCTACCATGTAAAGCAAGAATGAAGTAAATATGACTATATTTGACGAAAATACAGAACTTTTAATTAGGCGAGGTGAGGAAACACGAAAAGGAGAAAATGGCCAAAATGTTTCCATAGCAATGGGGTCTTAGAATTGAGATAGAGACTTGAAATTTAGCTGTTATCTTGGGTATGCCACTACAAGGTAACATACAAAAGTAGAAAACTATTCATTCTCAGAGAAAAAAACAACTTATGGACCACACAAAATTTTAACGAGAAAGGACTTCACGTCAAATGCAACCAAATATTAGCATTATACTAGGTACGAGACACTAAATTTTCAAAGTAGCTGTATGTCAAATTCATCTGTTACATATGAAAGGCCTATGTCTAGTGAGAATTTTGGTACCATACTTTTACCTCTAGCTCAATGTTTAAGAGAATGGCAGCTGTTTCAATTTAACATAATAATAAAATATTGCTACAGTCGTTAACTGGTTGCAACCCCATGTTTGACAGATAGTGAAAGAGTACCAAGTGCACCAAACATCTCTACATTAAAAGAGTACAATCAAAGAGTACAATCACTATAACATAGAAATGAAGCCTAATATTTTTTCAAGACTGTGAGATCATTACAAATTAGTATTTTATTACCTCAAACACGCCGAGCGCCGCACCAGCCTCAATACTGTAGTATACTGAGTGCTCCCGGTAGTTTCGCAGAAGGATTCATGCAAAATAATTCCAAGCCGATGACTTTATTCTAATTGAAAAAGAACTCTTCTTTCTATTGATAACTTTTTTACCTGGTACTTTACACATTTCGTGTTAAAAAATTATCTTTGAAAACTTAGACCCTTTTTTTCAAGGTTTTCTATCTAAACATTTAAGGCCAATAATAATAACCACGGGAAACCACGCTGAAAGCTGTATAGGTTTCCGCCAATGAAAAGACGATATTTAATCATCAATCTTTCTGCAAAGCATTTGAATGCATGGGTGTCAATTTTGAACCGGGGGACTTCGCATTCGGACCGCGAGGGGCTTCCCTTTCCTCGGCGATTCTCCATCTCCAAATACCCGGATATACAAACAACTTACACTATTATAACGAAGAAAATCTGAACTTTTTCAAAGTATTCAGCACTTGGTGTTTTATAGCGAAAGAGCAAAGAAACAGAGATCTGAATTACCCCCCATTTCACCGAAACCACGCGCTCGGAAGGCAGCGAGTCGGCTTACGTGCTGTGTTTACACTACCTCGATTAACGTTTGAAATAGCACCATAAACACATGAGAGTACACACACACACACACACACACACACACACACACACACCCACACACACACATACACTCACACACACATATAATAATATACACACATACAAACACACTATCACACACACGCACACATGCACACATGCACGTAGACCGCGTCGGTGGCCTCTTGGTAAAGAGTCCTCTCTGAGAGATCGAGAGGAAGGTTAATTACTCTTTTAAAAGGTATAAAATACAATAAAAACGAATTTTTAAAATCAATCCAAGTGTAAAACTGAATGATCAACAGACGATAGCAGCTAGCAGGGCACGCCCACACAGTCAGCTGTTTACGTAAACAAGCTTGAAGTGAGCAAGAAGTTACCGTTTTTACTTCGTTTTACCAATCATAGTTGTTCACGTTTCAGACCGTTCATGCTCGAAAAGGGGTCAAGATTTAAAAATAGTTGCGAATGAAGAACGTTGGAGTAAAGATTTTCAACTAGTGGAGCATCTTTGGTGGAAGCAAAGGTCACAATGAGGTAATGGTTCTAAAAATAATCTCACAGCTGCACACAAGCAAAGTCCAAATTCTATTTCTCGTCACCCGAGCTCACACCTCCAAAATAAATCAAAATGAAATATCTGTAGTCGATTATAGTTTTTTTTTTTTTTAAATCTTAAATGAAGAAGAAGACATCAAGCTTTCAATATATCCACCCCAAAAAAATTTCATGGAAAGTCACTTTTTTGTTTTTCGAACCTCTTAGCTGATAACAGCATAGTGCGTCGTACGACTGATATTGATCGAGGCAGACAGATATGTGAGGTATCACACTTCATATTTGTTGGACGAAGATAATGAGTCACATCGATTTTGGTCATTTGGTGGCCATCTTGGATTTTATAGCCTCATGGATTACGCCATTTAAAAAAAAAAGGCATGGGGCTTATTTTTTTTTACTTAAGCATTTAAGATGATAAAGCAAGTGAGATACATACAATGGGAGCCCCACTGTCACCGGACTATCGTTACTTACCCAACTATGTATGCCAGTCACCTGGTGGGCGTCGACAAAGTAGAGCGCTCTAGCCATGTCTTTTGATTTAAGACACAGGAGAACAACACTTGTGCAGACACGTACAGCACATTTTCTTCTCCAGAAGTTTGTTATTAAAAGAATTTTAGACCTCTTTGTAACTGTTTTATTACTTTTGTTTGAGACAGCATTCTCTTTTAGAGCGTATACTTCCCGACGGCTTCTTTGAAAATATCTCACTCCAACTCCGGCCTTAGTGACGTAATTTGTCTCCAATTGGTTAGCAATGGCTCGACTCCAATACATTTTTCTGCATCCTCTGCCATTTTTTCCATTCTTACTTCCCTTTACTATGTTCCTATTCGACCTGCTATTGTCTTTACACGACTAAAGTGTTTCCTTTTCCATGTCCAGATCTGATTAAGTCTAGTCTACGTTCAGCCATAACTCGTTCAGAATTGAAACTTTGCTCACATTAGAGTCATCTGGCCGTGTAGATGCTCTCTACAGAATCTGATCATAATTGAGTATTGCTACTGCCTTGCAGTCCATAATTAAAATTACATCTGTAGATGATTATTAAGGGAATGCCAGTACTCGTGGAAACTTACTTCTTTTTACCCTGGCAAAACGTTTTACTTTGCATTGCTATTACGAGTCACATTCCTACCTCTTTGGTCATTTTACTGCCACGTTTTATCTGAGATTTCAAGTATTAACAATAAATGTCTTAATTTTCAAAACATTTACAATTGGTTCTTTTCTTTTTTATCCCTCTAAAATAAAACCAACTACATGTAATCGCATCATCAGCATGTAGCTGAAGTCGAAAACCCTGCCTTAATCTACAGCAGACAAAACACCTGCAGCAGACCAAGACAGCTTTTTTTTCAATCACTGGTTCTCCAGACAATTTAACAATCTTTTATTAAAGCCTTTTGCTATTACAACATACTTTTGTTGTTTAAAAAAAAAGTATTTGTCTTAATCAACAGATTGGTTGACTGGTATTAGTGTTGATAATAAAACAAGCAAGGAAAAAGGGAAGGGAAGAAAAAGCACACCAACCTCTAGTTTTTACATTGGTTGAAAAACATGATTGTTTAAAGAGGAGAACGATTCGCACAAATAACTCTATCAAGGAAAAAAATATCAATCGTTAACGTCCTTTTCGACGACTGTGATATTAGGTGTTTAATGCCAACTTAGACGATGGTCGAAAATCAAGTTGAGTTTCTTTTAACAAGTTCTGGGGCTCTTAGAACGCTCTGCCAACAGAACATTTAGTTTTCAGTCATTCCTCAGATAGGTGACAATGGCAAGCGGAAATAATGTTTTGACATGCCTTTTTATACAGGAAGGCACATTTTTTCGTTTAGGGCTTGGCACTTTCTTTGTTTGCTTGGATTTAAGGGCTAGCACTGGAAATGGCTAATTCAAAGGTGTTACTTAAAGTTATTTACGCCATTTTGGCAAATGGCCGAACGCTATTTGCTAACTTCACAGGGTCGATAATATTGCTTGTCATATGTCACGTTCACAGCGCAGCACGGGTCTACGGAAAAGGAACTAATCCGCGATCTATTGCGACAATATGAGTATGAGGGCCGCATGGGTAGGCCTGTGGTCTATTCCACGGACATGCTCATGGTCAACTTCAGCCTGTCACTGATACAGATTCTGGACGTGGACGAGAAAAACCAGGTTCTTAAAACCAATGTATGGTTTCACTACGTGAGTATCTCTCTTCAACATTAAGTTTATAGCGCTTTTCTTTTCCCACCAGCTTTTTTCATAATATGTTCCCCTTTATACGTTTCCTTCCAATTCACATTATTATTTAGCTTGCTTATCAACTCATTCTTATTTACCTTTATGGTTAAATCGAAAGCATCACTGCGGTAGCAAAACCTGAACATGATTGTCTTTTTGCGACGACAGAGTTTTGTCTGTACTCTATGTGAAGGTTCCGAGCTCGGGGCCTAATGAATGATTGAAGGGCAAACACATTACCTTTAGATCACGAGAGCTACCCCCAAAAACCCTCCCCTGTATATTTTGATAAATAGCAGAACAATGTCTTTAGAAAAGGGTTGCCATACTGAACAGTGTTGTGAATAGATGTAGAAGCTTTGACTTGACTGCAGATGTGCCAATGCGCCGAGTGACCTTGATACACAGCTTTACCATGGGCGATCAATTAGATAATAAAATTGTTCAAATTTACATAATGTCGCATTAAATTAAGTTCTTTGTCGGCTGTTCTGCTTATTTTGAGACGTTGATTCCGAATAAAAAATCAATTTTAAGATACCATAATTATTTTTTTTAATTTTACGTCCAAGTTTAATTCTGCACGAAGGCAAATTTCAAAGTGATTTACGTCACAGCGCGTCTCCCCCAAATCTGAACATGATCGCACGAAAAAAATCAAGCAGCTCTTGATATCTCGACCGAGTCTCCAAGCCATCGTTCGATTGTCCAAGGTTTGTGGTTGCACCTAATAGGGGGTGCCCACACACGCGATCGAGTCGGGCGGGTCGGGTTGGGTCGATCTGGTAGTCGGGGACTAGCCAAATTGAGGGCACAAAGCGGCCATCGTGGCACAAACCGATCGACTCAGTCGGTGACCGACAAAAGCAAACGCGTTTGTTTTCAGACCTGCGAATCGCACGATCGGATGGTTTGCAGCCAATCACAACAAGGCTGAGTCACGTGTCCATGTTGAAACTCAAAATCTCTTCGAAAAAGTGCAGACTTTGCTAACAGAGTTACCCTACTTGTGTGAAAAGTAATAAAGGCGAAACTATCAAACTGTGCTATTATTATTCTTTTTCTGGAGAAACGAAAGAGAGCTTCAAAACAAAGACTGCAGCACCATCAGAACCAATGCGCGGACTTCCGCGGACACTTTTTTGGACGAGTGAACAAGAGCTATCTTTTTATTAACTATCTTTGATAGTAGAAAGTAATCGGAAAACTATTGTAGCCATGTTTATGGGATCCCAGGCTGCCGCAGCACTGCAATAAAGAACTGGGAAAACGAGCCCTGGAAGCCATTGAGGTTAAAGGTTTCTCTACTTTAACTTCCAGGTCGTCGGGTACAATCACGTCGGGCTTGTAGTGTGCATTGAAACCACCTAAAAACGACCCGGTCCGACGCCCCGCCCCGGCCTACATGATCCGCTCTCGCTAGTGGGCACCCCCTATAACAATTTAGCGTATGATTGCTAGATCGCCCAGTTTTTGTATAATTTATCGTCACGTGCAACAAGGCCATTACACTGACGATGAATTCTCAATGGCGTGGTAGCGAACCTCAGTGTTCAGCCTTGGCGTACATTTGGGAATCTAAGAGCTTAGTTTAAGAACTGAACGCGTTTTCTTTTTATCAACAATTAGGGTTTAAGCGTGCATTGCGTTGTGTATATTACTTTATTATTTATGCGCTCATTTCGTAACCATGTGTAAGCGTGCGTGCGTGGTAAGGAAGAAGATGTGTGTGTGTGTGTGTGTGTGTGTGTGTGTGTGTGTGTGTGTGTGTGTGTGCGTGTGTGTGTGTCGCGTGCGTGGATCTTGTTCGTACATGCATTTATGAAAAGCTCCTAGGGCTGTGTTTACACGGGAGTGGGCTCTATAGAAGTGATCTTCATTATTATTATTATTATTATTATTATTATTATTATTATTATTATTATTATTATTATTATTATTATCATCATCATTATTATTATTATTATCATTATTATTATTATTAAACGGTAATGTGGAAAGCATATATGTGGATGTATAGCAGAAGGGAACAAAAAAAATTGAAATTGTTTTAAACCATTTTGTAAATCCCATATAAATTGAGAGGTGACAACACCAATAAAAGAATGTGTAATGTCTCTAAGCCAGGCAGTGAACAACAGCTCACATAGTGAACTTTTCACAGTACATGGCTTTGTATAACGAAAGGTTCGTTGTGTGAAAAGTGAGGCGTTTTTAGTGGATTTGTATGTGTTGTTTTGCTTTATTACTAGAGATGAAATTATAATACAATATTTGATTTTACAAAAACGCTTTATTTGCAGTGAATTTCATAGTGCTTCCAAATATTACAAAATAATAGTTAAAAAAACACGACTTATATTAGAAATATATAGAATTTAACATACAGCAATTAAAGCAGTTCATAGCATAATAATATGTTAAACTGTTTGTAGCATTCTCATGTCTTCATCTGTTTATAAAAAGTGATTGCAAAGGTGTTTTTTTTTAAACATTACTTTAAAAAACTGGGTAACACGAAGTGCCTTTATTTGCAGAAATGGAGAGATCTGCTCCTACAGTGGAGTCCTGCTCTACACGACAACATCTCCAGTATCCGAGTACCATCCAACAAAATTTGGTTACCTGACATTCTCTTATACAACTTGTAAGTCCTGGCGGTCCAATCAGAGTGCCCGAGGGATTATTTAGTGCCTCTTAGATCTATGAGCCACGAATTGGCCTTGATATCTAACTTTAAGGAGGTCAGACGAAAGTGAACAAGCTATAACAGAAGGGTGAGTGCTTTTCGAGACTCACGTGGAGAGGTCTTGACAGTCGTGGAATGAAATCTACAAGCTGCACTGAAATATGGGGGCAGGGTGGTATCGCTGTTTCAAAACAAGAAATTTGTAGCCAAGGTCTTCACAAAAAGTTAAGGATCACTTGCAAAAGGGCACGCAAAATAAAAATCAGCAAATCAAATTCTTCCTTCTTTGACATACATTTAATTCATCAATCCATAAGTGCAAAATAGAAATTCCATCACAGTCGAAACCAAAATGCGTAATTCCCAGCGCTCAAAAGGGACCCTGCGTCAAATTCGCAAAATCGCGAAATAACCGGTCTCGAAAAGTCTCAGCACAATCAAAGAAAAAGACCAGTTAAAGTTCGTGAATGTCAATGGAATTGTCAGAAGTGCGTGTGCCCACCATTCACGGAAAGTAGTCAAGGCATCACTGGCGCATAGAGTTGATCAGGCGTGCCAGAAAGGCCTCAGGAATATTGCTGTAGCATTAGCAAATTCGGTTTCAAATTGGCTGTCTTAGTCTTGGCTAACTTTTTTTAGCCAAGGATTCATATCAATGACCTACTGTTAGAGCGGTGATCAGTCGAGGACCCCCCCCTAAAGAAACAAACCCCCCCCCCCCAAAAACAAAACAAAACCCTCGAGATTACTGGGAGTTAGTTAGCCCCCCCCCCCCCCCCACACACACTTTTTTGGCAGACTCCCCTATTCAATTGTTAAGTAACATAATCTGTGCTTGTGACTGATTGTTTATGATGTAATGAAACAGTTCTGAGTGTTGAACACACGGCTCAAACTTAAATCATTTAAATTTATAATGCCTAGGTATATGAGTGTATTTGACAACGACAATATTCCCTGTCTCTGTTGATTAGAATGAAACCATCAACACTATTAAGTTTCTGCTGCTGTAGTTTTAATCATCCTTGAATAAATACTCCCATGTCCATTGCTCACGACGTTGTAATTAAAATGAGCTTACAAAGTGCACTTCCCACACATCAAACCTAAATCCAGGGGGCTCTCGTGGCCTAGAGATTAAGGTGTTGGCCTCTCATTCAAAGGTCCAGGGTTTGAATCCGGATAGCGACCGAAACATTTTCTTCTCTAAAATTGTCTCATTTCACCTCCTTTCCTGCTCTCTAGCAATATTCTGTCGTCTGCTTTCGTCTCCTCCTTCTGCCCCCATCCCCTCACTCCTTTGCCCCCTCCTCTGGGCTCCTGACATTTTCTACAGCCTTTCTACTGCTACTCCTTGACTCCTTCTTACGGCTGTGTTTCTGCCACATCTCTGATCTTCTGGTAGGACAGATCTACACATAGCCCTCTCGGACAAGGGCGAAAAATCTCGGAGGGCCCGTGTGCAAGTTGCGCTCGTGAAAGATCCCTTGGTGGTTTAAAATCGATAAGAGTAGGCTTCGGCAGCCACCCTGGCAAAATTCAAAATTTCCTACCAACTAAAAATATTTGGTGTGTCCCGCGCGCTCATATGACCTTATGCAGTTGCGAGCGCCGTAAAACATTTATCAAAAAACAACCTAGATCTAGCAGCAATTTGATGACTGACGCGTGACACTCTAGTGGAGCTGTTAGGGCACTCACGGCAGATTTTTTAATGCGTCCTTGTCGCAAACGTGACACAATTGTGTATGATAATTTGACAGACCGACCAAAGTCACCCCATCACGGGGTAGCTTTGTCCAATCCTTTGCCAAATAATCCTCAAAAATTGAAATAAGGGACAACAATGATCAATCACTCAGTGCATACCATCCCTTCCAGATAATTTATCAAAAAAAGATGTACAATTTTATGTTGTTTTAAAAAGTTGTCGACACAAGTTGCCAGCAAAGTGGCCAAAGTCACCCCAGTTTATGGTTAGAAATCAATTCGTGCCAATCGCAGTCGTGATGTTTCTGAGCACGCAGTGCTAATAATGGAGCAGAAAGAGAGAAAGAAAGAGAGAGAGAGAGAGAGAGAGAGAGAGAGAGAGAGAGAGAGAGAGAGAGAGACAGAGAGAGAGAGAGAGAGAGAGAGAGAGAGGATGTGTGTCCGGGGGGGGGGGGGTAATTTTTATGGTCGTGTTTTTCAAAACGCGATGCCCTTTCTTGTTTTGTGTCTGCGTGAGTGCTTATGAAATTTGTAACCCTAATGCCTTTGTAAACGGCAAAGACAATTTTTACCACGCGAGATAAAAAAAAGGTATGTCAAATGTTGTGTCGTTCTAGGTCAATCAATAATATGTTGTACGCACCCTTTGAGTAAAAAGAACGGAATAACTCTCACCCACTTTTAAGATACTTGCTTTGCGATGAATAAAGGATTCAGGGTTTATTTCTTGCATTTCCACGACATTTGTTTACTTGAGGTCTCCATTCTCTTGTTTAGAAGGACAGTAAGACAAAAGTGCTGCTTCTTAAACATTGAAACTGGAACAGGGCTGTCATATAAATATTTCCTTCCTGGATTAATATACATTTTAAGATAAGATAATATATTATTGTTCCAGAGGAAAATTGTTCTTGTAAAAACACATGCATGAATGAAAATTACATTATATTATATTACTCTCCTTAAAGTTCGATATGAAAAGAAACGTTTAGCTTACAAAATGTACATATCACAGGAGATGCACCACTATTCAAACGTATGCAGGAATTTAATTAAAAGATCTTTAGGGTTATATAGATACATACTCGGAAAAGCAATACACATTGATGTTTATTCTGACAATAGCCTCATACTAGATTTTAAAAGAACTACTTTTATATCTTTCTCTCTTTGTTTTTAGAGGTACATAATATTATCTACCGTTGCGTGAACTTAGACTTTGCGTGGAAAAGGGGTGTGATAGGGCGTTTGTGATGCTGTTTATTATCTTTTTTATACTTGTTATCTTATACATTTCATAATTTGTAGTAAAATCATATCCAAAGAGCTTGCTGGCTTTTTTAATCTTTCACCCTACAATCCCAAGCATCAAAAAGAAAATACGCCTAGATGTAATCGTATAAAGGGACATAATCTTATTTTCTACACTCAAAGAGGTGATATCACGGAAACATCTTAATTTTCTTAAAAGAAACATTCTTTAATTTATTGTTTATGCACAAGAGCATCGTGGTGATGCCAGTCAAGCTTGTTATCAATTGTTATTCCAAGATATTTGTTAGAGTTTGCAGCCTCCACCTCCTGACCTTTAACTTAAATAAATAGTTATTGCAATTGGGTTGTTTTTTTTACTTTGAAGTCTATTATTAATTCATTTGTCTTTTTTGAATAAAAAAGAAGTGGTCATCACACCACTTTGCAAATATATTTCCAGCGTCCCTGTATTCATTCTCATTTGTTATCATAAGGCCTGGCGGATAGTAAAATGGATAGCCTGGCTGTGCTAGAACAATGTGTTAAACACTAGAAAGAAACAAGCGCAATCAGTGCAGTATGTTAAAATGTATTTTTTATTTACATTCTGGCAAATAAAGAAAGGTGGCATAAGCAGCAATAGTAATGCTTCTAGAATTACAAAGGTCTACCTGAGAAGACAAAAATACATAGCGCCCGTGAATATTTAATGTTACAATGCTTGTTTTATCTCTCCAGTGCTGATGACCGCTTGTCAGAACAGCGGGAGGCTTTGGTGGTTGTAGAGCACACTGGTCATCTTCTGTGGATGCCCCAAGCCATACTAAACAGCTCGTGTTCCTTTGACACGTTGTTTTTTCCTTTTGACGTACAAACGTGTCACCTTAAATTTGGATCGTGGACTTACGACGGGGATATGCTCAACATTGATTTTATTGGTACTGGATTATAGATAATAACTGTGTAACAGTGATTTGTGTACTGTATAATCGTATGTCTTTAAATGGTCGCGTCCCTGGACGGGGGAGGGCGAGGGGGTGTAGATTTTTTTTTTACGCCCCTATCGACACAATTTGATTATTTTGGAGACAGGCTGTGGCACTGCCTTGGATGAAAGAAAATCAACGGATTCAGGCAGATGAATAAAGAAACTGGAAACAATTTCTCTCCTCACGAGAATCGAACCCAAGTCGTCTGCGTGCGACGAGCAGCACCTAAGCACTGCGCTGCAAACGTTACTTTTCATTCTCCACAGTATGTCAAAATTCAAGCGTGTGTGTGCCCCTCAATTATCATTGGGGATTCATCTGTGCATACTATTTTCTCCCTTTTGAATTTATAGTTCATTTTCCCAACCGGAGTGGGTTGTCTATTTTAACGAATATTTCAGTTCTACTGTCGGTTTTGTCCTTAAGGGTAGGTGGAACCTATGCAGACCTCTGCAGCGTTTGTATTATTTATGCGGATTTTTTAGACCAAGAATATTCAAAAGCTGTTGACAAAGCAGCTTACTTTCTCTAATCATTATTTTGCACGTGTTTCTTCAAGTTCATAAACCTATTTCTGGCGTCTTTTTTTCGAAGATAAACCTCCAAGATGAATACTATTCGCGTCGTTTAGGTTGGAGCTTTTGGTCCTCATTACCCTCCTCAGTAACCGGTATTAGCAGAACGAACACTGATAGTATACAATTCACTTTTTCAAAAGGGAATATGCCAGGGTTTTTTTGTTGTTGGCGTCAGCGTGTTCTTAAATTCAAATATAAACTTTTCGTTTTGAACGTTACTGCCCTAAATGCAAGTCTAAATATGGATACACAATAGACGTATTAGATTAACACTACAAGTAATGCATTTATTATTTGCTTCTTTAAAAGAAAATTATGTAATGACTATCGGCTTGATTTTTCATACATGTAGACATTTGAAAGATTGCGTGCTGAGGGAATGACAACCACAACAAAGAACACGGACGTATTGCGGTTTGTCACTCATGTTGGTATTGGTTTTAAGTCTTAGCTCTCTCATATTCCAATTCCAGAGTCTGTGAGGTAGCAATTAGGCGCCTCACCGTTGCATGCAAAACCCGTGAATTTGATTCCTTTGCGCGGAGGATTTTTTATCGTGCGTCTTCATCTGTCTGCTGGGGCGTTGTATCCCTTTCATCCCGGATTTACCTTGACAGCTAAAGTCGAAGCAGCTCCCCTCCTAAATTATCTAAACTGTGTCAGTGGGATGTAAAAATAGAAAATTGCAACTGTAATAGTAGCTCTGTAATTCCGTGTTATTAATACGATTATACGGGTGAAAATGTGAACGCAAGGAAATCTTGTTCATTGGTCGCTGGTCATTTTCAACTCTGTAAGGTAATTTAAGAGGCGGGACCTCTGAGATCAACGTCTATCTCCGTAAATACCTTTCTGAATACGTGGAGGGCCGGTATAACTCACAAAAACGACTGAAATTTAGAATGCCCCGTTCAGCGTAATACCGCTGACTTTGTGGTGCGCTCGTAATACCTTGTTTCATTGATGATAGCACGTACGTTTCAAACCAAAAGCAAAATGCTTTTCGAGTTGATCTAAGGCCTCATCGGCTATAATCCTATGTATTGTTTTTCTGAATTTTACAGATGTGGCCTATTTATTTTCCTTTACTTTCACAGGTGCTGTCCACAAGATGGACATGGCTGACTTCATGCCGTCCAATGAGTGGGATGTCATTAGGAATGTCGGTATTCGCCACGTCAAGTACTATACATGCTGCCCAGAGCCATATCTTGATATGACATTCACGTGAGAACCCATTCAATTCCCTTGCCGATTTTAACGTGACAATTTAAGGGATGTTTCGGCAATCCTGTTTTCATTTCAAAGTAGCGTCGCATCACAGTTATGCACTTAATCAAGATCATCGCCTTAGGAAGAGTTCCCTTTTTAAACTCTTCGATAATTCTGTTTAATGGACAGGTGGTTGCATGGTTTCAATAGCTCACCAAAGGAGACGCGGAACTATGTATTATAGGATGAAGAATTCCAAGACGGGACGACAGGCCCCATTTCCGGTCTAACTGGCTCCCCTTGGTAACCAGTTTGCTGCGCGTATAGAGTAGAGCTGGGTTTTCTTCAAATTTTAGGTTAATTGCGAGCACGAGCTGCTCGCCCCAAGTGAGTTACGAGTAGGCTAGCACCCTGTGACGTCAGCACCGTGTGTCGTCAGTGACCTCACATACTGTTCCGTGCCAAAGGCCGACAGTGTTACTGTTCCTTCTTTCTTTCAATTTTTTTCCTCCACCCCCTTCTCTCTCTCTCTCTCTCTCTCTCTCTCTCTCTCTCTCTCTCTCTCTCTCTCTCTCTCTCTCTCTCTCTTTCACACACACACACACACACACACACACACACACACACACACACACACACACACACACACACACACACACATACACTCACACACACACACATAAACAGAAGCTGGTCAAGAAACTAGGAAAGTCGAGCGTACAACAAACACATTGGCAGGTCATGCGTCAACACACTCTTAAGTCCAATACCAATCATAGCCTAGTATGAGAGGCCCTTTATGCCACTACAGCCCGATTGTGTTGGCTTAGCTTTACAACTAGCGCTACCGAAAGCCGGGGTTAGAAATATCCACCCAAACAGTTTGCTGTCAAAGTTTACTGCTCATATAGTACAACACAACTACATTACGATCTTCTTCTTCTTCTTCTTCTTCTTCTTCTTCTTCTTCTTCTTCTTCTTCTTCTTCTTCTTCTTCTTCTTCTTCTTCTTCATCTTCTTCTTCTTCTTCTTCTTCTTCTTCTTCTTCTTCTTCTTCTTCTTCTTCTTCTTCTTCTTCTTCTTCTTCTTCTTCTTCGTCTTCTTTATAACTCTATTATTGTTATTGTTATTATTATTATTATTATTATTATTATTATTATTATTATTATCATTTCTATTATTATTTTAAAAAAAAATTATTAATAATAATAATAATCATCATCATCATCGTTGTCATAATTCATTATTACTATTAATATTATTTTTAGTGGTAGTAGAGTAGTAATAGTAGTAGTAATAATAATAATAATAGTAGTAGTAGTAGTAGTAGTAGTAGTAGTAGTAGTAGTAGTAGTAGTAGTAGTGGTAGTAGTAGTAGTAGTAGTACTTTCTTTCTGAAGGAAACGTTACATTCGTATCACTGTTAAGGGATTCTCCATTTGCTCAGTTGGTATCACAATAATAATAATAAAAATATTAACAATAATAATAATATATTATAACAGTTATATTGCGTATTTCCCAAAAAGTAACTCAATGCATTTTACATTGGAATACTCATTTTCAAAATCTTTCTTACTACTTCCTTTCTACTCATGCAATATATATTTATGCAAACACGCACACACACACAAACACACACACACACACACACACACACACACACACACACACACACACACACACACACATACATACACACACACTCACACACACACACACGGACTATTTTCTTTCTGACGTTGGCACATAACAACTATAGCAAAAATAACGCAGAAAGCTTATGAAGGCCTGTTGGAACAGAAAAGGCTTAGGATGTTTTTTGAAGCTATCAAATGTTCTTAAATGTCTTAGATCCATGGGTAATCTGTTCCACATAAATGGACCCAGATATGAGAAAGATCTCTCTCCATATCATTTGTATGATTTTACGGGTGTCACAAGTACATTTGTTGATCTTAGGTTTCTCCCTAGCATAATAATATACTGATAAGTTCTTGTAGATCAAAATGAGCATTTTTATTTACACATTTGAAACACATGACACATATTTTAAATATCATTCTTTCTTTTACAGGGAGCCAATGGAGCTCTTTTAATAGTGGAGTGACATGGTCTCGTTTTTTAAAAATCTTGTTTTCAATCTTGCGGCATTGTTTTGAATGCTTTGAAAACGATTAAAATATTTATTGTTCTTACCTGCTAAGAGTGATTTAGTGTAGTCTAATCTAGATAGAATAAGAGATGTTACCAATGTTTTTGAGGTCTTTTCGTTCATGTATTTTCGAACTATGCCTATCCTTCTCAGCTGAAAATAAAGGGATTTGGACAGAGAAACTATATACACCGAGATTCTTGACAACTTCTTTACTAGATGTCTTATGCCCATCTAAATCAATGTTATCAGTTTCCAGATCTCTATTTAATTGTAGATTATTAAACTTATAAGAATTATGTATGTCTTTTCTTCGTCTAATTTCAATGTGTTTACTATCATCCACTTTTTAAATTCATAAAAACATTGTATAGTGATAGAAATCTTATTTGGCAGATCTTGATTGGTGCCATTAATATACTGTTAACAGTGATGATGGTGATACCATCTTATATACACTTTACAACTATTCCTCAGCGGACTGTTGAACACAGAAACATTCTTAGCAGTTTCCATGAAGGAATATCGTTCAAGCTGATATGTTACAGCCTCTATACTGCAAAGATTTTTCGTCGTCTGTGGCCGGGCACCCCTTCACACGTGGGTGAAATGAGAAAAAGTAGTGTTAAGTGCCTTTCCTAAGGACACTACGTTGGGCTCAGCTGAGCCTCAAACTCCGAACAAGCAAATTCACGTTTTCACGTCTGGTAGCCTAACCCCTGGAACCGACTGCCGTGGTTTGAATTCCTGCCTAGTCGTTTTTAAAAAAAACCAAGGTCATTTTAAGGCGTTAAATTTGGAGGTTTCACTTCCTAAATAACCTAAAAGTGTAAAAATTAGCATAAAACCCATTCACTTACTCACTTACTTACTAAGCAATAGAATGTTCTTGAACATGGTCAGAGGTCCTGACTCTAAAATAACTGTTGCATTGATGAACGTACCTTTGTATTACCCTAGCATAGCCGCAGACTCATTGCCACGTGGAGACATTTAAGGACATTGTTCTTTTAAGCTGAAAAAACAACAACCAACAAACATTGTGTTCCAACGCCCATGGGGCCATCAAAATATTCATTAATTTTTGCCATTTGTTACACTAATAGCAAAATATACGTATTGATTATTATATCATAAGCATATTTAGGAATCAACATATTAAACACATTTAATTAAATGAAAGCCAAAATGGAAACATATGTGTTCGCTTCGAGGACGACAAACAAGAGTACATATCTTTTCTAAATATTTCCCGTTGATTCCAGGTGGTACATATTATGGTTATAATTTCCTACGTTAAATAATCCTTTCCATGCATTTCTTTGTTCAGGCTTGTGCTAAAGAGGAAGATTGCCTTTTACACGTTCATTTTGATACTACCTTGCAGTCTGCTATCACTACTCACGATGGTCACTTTTTGGGTTCCTCCAGAATCTCCGGCGAAACTCCAGTTAGGTAAGAAAATTACCTCTTCTAAAACTGTTTATAGGATAATTTATTAGCCTGATACACAGAATACTAGCGGTTAGGCGTTGTGCTGTCACATTCAAATGACCTGAGTTCTATTCCTGTGTGAGGTGAATTTTTATCGAACATCTCTGTCTTTCTGTGGGAAGTTGTATCTTTCTGTTGGAAGTTCGTGTCAGCCGCTTCCTAAATAAATTAAAATGTGTCGAAGGGGGCACAAAACGATTACAGAAAAAAGAAAGCATATTGCCGGTAAATAAAGTCTGTTAGTGAGTTCGTAAAGTTTTCAGTAGTAGATACTATATTCTCGAAAGTAGCGCTACCTTTGTAAAGAGAATGCACATTTTTTATTTTGTAGTGGGCTTCTCAGAGATGGGAAAATAAAGAGACAGAGAAAGATAATTATAAGAAGGCACAAGCTCTGGAAGCAGCTTTGAGCGTGGAAGAATTTGTAGCGAACGAACTGTTGGAAGAGCTCCACATAACGTGGTCATGCTAAATGATTTGTGACGGACGAACTGCAACTTAAAATGTTTATGTCTTATGAAAACAGGGAAAACATGGAAAGACATCAAACTAACATAACATTACTTTTGATGTGTACGGTCTTAACCGTTTAAATCAGATGTCGTACAGGTTAAGTGATGATTTCAATCTGTTCTTAGGTTCTGAATTTTACCCGGCCCTGATATGCAGGATAGGCACATCCCACTTCGTACTTATTCTAATGGTATCGGTTGCATGCCCCCCCCCCCTCTTTCCTCCATACTTCGCTTGTGAAAAGTCATTTCTTGATAATTATTCCATGTTACATGTTCCAAATACAACTATCTGTAATGTCTTGAATACTTTATCAACAAATGAGGATGCCAATCACCAATCTCGCTTGCCGCGTGATTCAACCGACTAAACGTCAGGAGACAAAATACATCGCAAAACTGTTTAATTGTATTGTGCTTGTACCTACAAATTTGAAATTCAGATACTTATTATGGTAATATGATGTAGGGCGAAAGTGTACAATCAACTTTTTAAAAAATGCTTTGTTAACAAAGTTACTGCATATAGGTGTTTGAGACCTGCCAAAATCCGAGTGATTCAACCGCCTAAACGACAGAATGATAACGTCTAGGCGCTTGAAGCACGTTAATCAAAGCCACTCAGCGAGTGCCAGCGGTCGCTTGAAAGTTTGTATGACAAAAGCAGCTGATAACAGATTTTAAGAGAAATTATAAAGCCATGCCACTCTTATTTCAGTTAGTTTTGAAGAAACATAATCAGGAACATAGCAAGTAGTATTTCAAGTAAGCACAAGAGTGATTGTTTAAATCTTGAAAATACAAAGTACAGGGTGTCTAAAAAAGGAGCCATTTAATGTATAATAACTTTGTTATCAATGCACAAATTTTAACAAAGCTTCGAGCAAATAAATTTCAACGTGACGGATATCAGGTTTGAAAATATGATCAAAATGAACCAACGCCTTCGAGGAATATAAAGGTTTTTAAAAATTCCAACCAAAATTGGGTAAAACGCAAAACTTCGCTTCTTAACAGCGTTCAGCTACAGGGGTGTCATCAAACCGTTCTAGTTTCAGAAAAATTACAGTAAAATCACGACAGTCACATAAGATGGACACCTTAACGTGCTGAGAAAGTTTTGGAGAAGTTTGGAAATGAGAAAGAATTTACTACACAAGATATCTTGGGACATCATGATTTTTCCTACGAGTGAAATTGCCAAATAGAAATAACGTGTTTCAACGAATGATTACAATTGGCAGCTTCACAAGTAGGACGAACAATGATCTACCACTATAACGACAGTAATATCTTACAAAATACCATACTGATGTTATGTGACGAAATAAATCTGGATCAACAATGTCCAAAGGCCAAGTGGCCCCAGTAAAACGTCTTACATAAAAATAAAATTTTTATGCTCATGATTAAAAAAAGTATGGATTTTGTTTTTGTTTTTAGCCACTATAACTACATGTTGTCTTTAGAATAGAGATGACTTTGATTTTAAATTCGGCAACCAAAAACAAACCAAAAGCTAGGAGTCGTTTGGTAGCATAGATTTTCGAAAATGTTATCCGTTTAGAGGTTGAATCACGTGGCTAGCGATTTTTTCTGTGTGTATTTTCAGGTATGAATATATTCCTTGCCTTTTTCGTCTTGCTGCTTCTGTTAGCAGATTATACTCCTCGGGCATCGACTTCTATACCGTTAATAGGTGAGTAGTTTTAACACTCTAGCAATAAAATGCTTTGGAAATTCAGTGGGCTTCAATTACAAAGCAATCTGACATAGACATCAGACTTAAAAAAGAACCTGTGTTGTTTTAAATGGTTTTATTGTTTGGTGCAATTTCTGAGCTTGTGATCTTTTACGGTGGCACTTAACACAGTGAAGCTTTTTTTAAAAGACAGAACTCTTACCTCATCTTGCAGAAGTTCCAGTTGAATGAGAAAATGTATTAATTTTCTAGTACAATAATAATTATAAACCAAATGTCAGAAACAATTTTGCTCTACGTATATATACCTATTACTGTGGCGGTCGTATTTATTTTTGTTTATTATCGTTTTGTTTATTTATCGGTCTTATTCTTTCTTTTTTAAAAGGGGAGGGGAGTGAAAAATAGATTAACCTATTCCTTTTCCCACTTGCTTGTCAATCCCATTGATGCTGTTTTTTCGCACCCGCGCCTTAAGAATAGAATAAATTCATCAAAATTCATTGCATTGTGCACATTACGTGTTATTCAGGCCAAGACGTTAGAACTGCTACAGTAACGATCATAAAAGCACAGTCTACGGGGGTAATACACATTGCATTGCACTCTTCTTTAAAAATGTTTTCATACAACGGTATTTGTGAGTGTTCCATAAGGGCAGCACGCTAGTACCAATGCATTCAAACTTTCAGTACTCAGCATAGATCTATTTCACAATGGAAGGTGAAATGCTAGAGATTCAATTCCTGTATTTATCTTAAACGTGACTAGTTCTAAGTTAATATTGATGCTGAAACTATCAGGCAAGGTTTAATCTTAAAGTTTCATGGTAACTGACACTTGTGCTTCTTAGAAAAGACACGATTGTTGGATATTCCTTAGCACAATAACAGCCATACAATTTCTGGGTTTCTTAAAAGGTTGCCATATATGCTGCGTAGTATATATATAATATATGTTTTATATGTATAAATATATAGATAATATACAAATGTGTATATAACACACACACACACACACACACA